TTTTTTCCTTTCCTGAGACAGGGTCTCACTATGCAGTTCAGGCTAACCTTGAACTCACTATGTAGCCCAGGCTCGCCTCCATCTAGTGGTGTCCTCCATGCTCAGCCTCCAAGGGCTGCCATTAAGACATGCACCACTACACTCACTCAAGGCATCCATAATTCTTTTCAACACAGCAAAGACAAACTATTTTTGGCAAATCATGATAGATATTTTCATGTAGTTCTTTAAAGAAGACCCTTACAATTTCATAAAGCCTCTACATTAAATAAGGGCACAGTCCAGGTCAACATAAATCACTTTGGTACCTTATGCTGACTTTTAGGAATGTACTGAGATGAAAATACTAATAAAAAATGAAAAGCTTTCAATGTTCTCCACAAACTTACACTACATATAAATTTCACCTGTGCTGGTATTACTGTAAGCAAGACCCATGACGATTCACAGTACAACTACTACGTCTGCCAGCAGGGGCTGCTGCAAGGACTTTGGGGCACATGTCCATGTTATAAATCATGGTTTTAAATAAATTTTTGAATTTTATTATGAAATGCACAGTGCACAGTGCATTGCCATTCATGGCAACACTGTTATTAATAGTTGATATTTATTTCTAGAAATTAAAGGTACTAGTTACTGTTACTTCTAAATGTGAATACGTTTATATTAACAAAAACATTATTATAATGGAATACCATTTCACCTTTGATAGCATGCACTGCTAAAAGTCAAACGTACAGCGAAGAGAATATTTTCATACAGTTTCACTACTGTGTGAGTCTTCTTAGCACAGCGCAGAGACTATCTCTTCAGCGATAATTTTTAAGCAGTGGGTAAGATATCCGTAATTTACAAAGCCTTTTACCTTTTCCAATATGTTTATTGTTTGAAAAAAAGATGCACATAGAATCACATCAAATGTGTTACTCATAAAAAATAGATGTAAATTTATTGCTAGATGTTTGACTTAATACAGTGGCATTTTTAAAACCAGAGTCAGCTATTCTATTTTCTATTCTACCTTATCCTACCCTACCCTACCCTACCTGACCTCACTCCACCCTATCCATCACTATCCTACCCAAGCACCCTATAGTGTATCACGCGCAGTGAGTATATAACAAACACCTCTTTCTGAGCAGTTCTGAGTCCTAGTCTTAGCATTTGAGGAATGCCCACAGCAGAAATTTCAGCTAATTCAGCTTTTCATCTAGATGGACTTTTTGGCTTTTCCTCTCTTACTACAAGTTGGGGCAAATATGGTTTAGAGAAAAGTGGCAGGAGGTAAAAGTACCTTCACACCTGGCTGAGCCCCATGCACAACTGAAGAGCAAGGTCTGAGAAATGGTGTCTGTGAGCTCCGAAGCTGTGAGTAACATGTGCCGGCTAGACACATTATTAAGGGATGAAAGCACTCTCAGACCAGGCAAATCACATGCTGTCAAGAAAACCTAATACCATTAGAGTGCGTCAGCATAAGAATGTCTAAAGAATTGGGGAGCTGCAGGAAGAGGGATACTTTTGGTACTTTTATTCATTAAAGAAGATGGAATAGATGTACTTGTATGATATGTTTTATGTTGTTTATCTGTTTATACAAGAACCAAATGGCTGGAAAGACCCTCATACAAACTCCTAAAGGCAGCAATCACTTAGGACTGTAACTATGAAGTTTCACTTTCTAATTTTCCTTCATATGTGTTAACTATACATATGCATGAAGTTCAGTGCGGTGTTTCCCTATATAAATACAATAGACACGATCAAACCTAATTCTCTGCATGCTTAGAAAAATTTATTTATACTGGATGAACATTTTTATTATGAGCTTGAAAAATCCTCATTTTTGCAAAAAAAAAGCATTAAAAACTCTAAAGAGTTCATAGTTCCTCTGTATGCCTTGTGAGCTTGACAGTTTGGTTCCACTTAAAGAACTTTCAGGCTTGGGGTGAATGGGGCCAGCCTAGTCCAGTCAGTAAGGTGAGAGTAAATCACTCTGCTTCTCTGCTCCCTCTCCACAAAGTTAAAAAAAATTGTCAAAATAATAAAAGATGTGGCAGTAAAAAGGGGGGACAAACCTATCACAGTAGGGAAGTGGAGGGAGAGAGTAAGAAACTTTTATCCACCTTGCTGTGGATGGAAATGGCATGCAGTAGCAGGCTGAACAAATTTAAGTATTCTAAGTGGTCTGAGGTAGGTCCACTTCTAGGAGGCAGGGCTGCTTGGGAAAGGCGACAAAGTGATCTACAAACGAAGCTTTATCTCCAGTTCCTAAGGGCAAAGCAGTGTAATTCTATAGACATTGTTTACTCCTTTAGAAACTCAAAGACATTTTCTGGAAAGCCCCTTGAAGTTAAGAGAATCTTGGTGCAGAAAAACCCAAAATTAGATGCTTTCCTATGAACAAAAGTTTTATCTTTTTTTTTTTTTTTTTTTTTTTTTTTTATCTTTTTATTTGTTTGTTTCTTCTATGTAAGAGAGAATCTTTTCTGGTCTGTGCTTTGTACTCTGAATAACATTTTGGCCATTTTTTTAAAAGATCATTTTATACCATATATGAACCACTGTTATTCTCTAAAAATTAAATAAAACAAAACTGGTTGCCACCAATGTTTATCAAAGACTTTGATTTACCACTTTACAAGAAGGGTTATTGCAATGCATCATTAATTTATTTTTCTGTGTGTTGTCTGGTTAATCCAATAGTGTGTATATTTGCAGCAATATTTTCGTTTGTAATTCTCTAATTTACCTGCTCTGCTCCTACATTTACTAAAATGGGAATTAAAGCACGCACAATTTAGCAATAGAGACTTGCTAAAGATTTCACGTGAGAATGACACTGATTCATGGATTTCCCAAGTGTATCAGTATTTTCTACCCTGGAGACCTTGAAGTTGAACACTGAATACTTTAAAGCACAATGCTCTGGAAAGCAGGGCTGCGCTTCTTCGCAGTCGCTGCATGTGCTTCCTCTTGCCTCAGTTTCCCCACTGGCTCTGGTCAAGAAGGTCTAACTATATATTTCTCCCAATTATATATTTCTTTGTGCATTTTCTTCTAGTCTCTAGAAGTCAATTACCAGAACAATCCCCTAAGCCTGAGATTACCTCTCTCACTTTTAAAAAGTGAGCAACATTTACTACAGTGTTCGTGCACTACAAAATGTGAACATTTAAAAAAAAGTTGACCCAGTATTTTTTTAAATCAGAATGATTTTCATTTTTGCTTTTCTTATAAAGTTGAATAGCACTTGTGTGCTCTGTTCTTACTCAAACTCCCTCAAGCCCCCCTTGTTCTTTTTATTGTGTTCTTTGTTCACTGTGAGTTTCTTCATGAGTATATATCATATATACATTATACTGTACAGTAGTGTCAATGCTGGTGTTAAAATTTTACAAATATATATGTGCCCTCTTAATTCATACCACTATCCATCCTGTTTTCACAGTAAAGTTCATTGCTACCTGGGAGGTCTTTTTCCACTGAAATGTGAAGAGAAAAGGTGAGCAGGCTAAGGAATCCTTTTTCATGCTGGGAGGGGTTGAATAAAAATGCCCATCCAATTTTATACTTTTTCTCCAGGATTCTGGACACGGTCAGAAATAATTTCTTGCTACTTGTAATGAACATTAATCAACAAGCGCAAGTGTGGAATTAAGTTTTAATTCATTTTCTGAATACTGAACTTCAGTCAAGAAGTTAAGTTTGGAACTGTACTGTAATTCAGTTTTCTGCATCTAGTAAACAGAAAGTAAAGAAGCCACATGGATGGGTCAAATGGCAAAATAATGAGGGACTACAAAAGATATGATTGTCGTATCCCCTGTGTTTCCCTGAAAATAATCAGCCTTGGAAACTAGACATTGAAAATGCCAGTCACACTCAGGTTATCCTTGCCTTACCTGCCACACCAAGCAGGAGAACAGGGATGGCTACTGGAATCTAGCTGGGGCCTAGCCTGGGGCAAAGGGAGCACGTGTATGCTGTCCTAGGCCTGTATGCTACGACAGCACAGTGCTACAGACATACATTGTATTGTCCTCTTTTGAGAATTGCTCATTTTAAAAAAACGCCTTCCAGTGTACATTATTTTCAGTTCTTACCTTTATCCAGATTTCCAGGAGACACAGCATTTAAATCACCAAACTGCAAAACAATAGTCATTTGTGCAACGGTTACTATCAAGCAGAATAAAATAATACTCTATCAGCCTGTAGTAAAAACACCACTCAAGGACTTTTTAAAACTGTAAACTAGTGACCATTTTGATCTCAAAATGCACAAGTCAGATCATTTTCCAATCCAACTTGTCAAATTTGAAGTTTAGGTCAAATTTAGCTGTCTTTGCCTCTTTGCAAAAGGATTACTATTTTCTTTGCCTTCCACACTCCATTTCACTTTTATTGTTATTATTATTTCAACTCAGCACTGAATAAAGAAGGGCCTGAATGACCTGGATGAAGATGAATGTGGTGAAATTAATTTGGAAAAACCCCAATCAAGCGGGACACCTCCGCTCTTCTCCCCACACAGAGCCAGGGAGTTCAGCGGGAGCCTTTGCAGTAGAGACGCAGGATCCAGCAGTTGGGCTTAAACTTTTACTACTGCAAATGAAAAATGTAATAGGAACCACGAAGCTGACAGTATTCCTTTTTATACAAATTTTATACTTTTCTTAACTAAATGCTATTCTTATTTATTTATTCTTTATTTATCAAGAAAATAGGGTCCCACATTTAAAAAAGAAAGGCATCTTGCCATTACTAATGCAAGTAAGGGCTCACAACAAGATAAAATGATAACTTTTAACATAGATGCTATTTTCTATTTTGGTTCTATTTGGTTTCTACTTGCTAATTTGACTGATAATTTTACAGTGAGAAAGTATATTTTAAGAGTCTCGGGGCAAAGAAAGATGGATACACTAAGTAAAAAATTAAATAGAGTTGTAACAAAGCTAATTTGAAAAAGGTCTAGTGAAAGCACAAAGCACCCACTTTTTAAAGGTGGACATTTTCTTTCTCACATAGTCATTCTTAGAAATTCAGATTTCTCAATAGGCTTAGAAAGGATGAGACAGAAATTCTACTTACATTCAGAAGTTTGCTTATAAAGAGTTCCATGATAGGAGTATTTTTTTCATCTACAAGGTATGTCTATAAAGTAATAAAACTGATCTTATTTTGCAAACATACACACATCACCTTTTTTCCCCCATCTAAGAAAGCACTATTCTTCATAGTAGATACCTTATACATTTATTCCAAATTCTGGGATTCTGGAATTCCTCTTTGACAATCAATTTCAAGAGTTAGTTTATACATCATTCAAGAAAGTCCAATGTGTAATTTTATATCCAACTGTCATTCCAAATTTTATTCACTGCACTTGGATCTGGGATGATTTTCACAAAAATCAAATTCATCTTTATCAAAACTCAGGATATGTAAAATCATTTTACTCTTCAAAATTTCTTAGCATTTCAGAGGCAGTTTAAAAAGAGGCATTCCATACCATTGCTGGAACAAATATATAGCCTTTCCAGGCGTCTGCTTTGAAGGGGTGAGGGGCCTGTCAGACACGTAACTCTTGGAATGCTACCTTGAAGGTTTGTGCCAGTACTTTTTCCTTATACTGGGCAATAAATATAAGTACAATATTCTTATATTCATAGAATCATAAATGTAATACTGAACTGTTGTTTTTGAAATCATGCCTGAACCAATTGGTCAAAATGTTGCACAAGTCTAAATAAAATGCACAGTGTAAATTATATCGGATATTTAATTACAGAATATAATCTAAGCAACAAAAACCAAGAGATATTTTGCCCATTTTTAATATTATTTATATATTTTAGAACTATAAATAGAAAATATCCAAAGCTGAAGAATCATTGTTATTTTCATTTAACACAGAACATAAGTCTTTATGTATAAATGAGTATTTAATTATACTTAAATCAAGCCCTTAATATAAGTTGGCAGTGATGGTTCACAACTACTAAAACTCCAGTGACCATTATTATTATTAGCAAAACAACATCCACATACGAAAAGGTGGGTACTTGTCACTATGCTCTGTCCTGGACAATCCCAAAGTTCTATGCTTTCAGAACATAGAGGAGTAGACTTCTTTTTAAAAACCCAGTGAAGAAGAGCTAAGATTTTAATACCTTATAGAGCTACAATTAAACACTTCTACATGTATTTTACATGTGAGGAATATATATACAGATAAGGAGAAAGCCACCTTAATCCTATAGACAGAGTGGCTAAGAGTCAGGACAGTCCATTCCTATGTTCATTTATGCAGTCAATATTCATTCAGAATACTATGTGCTGAGCACTGTGCTGGCCACTATTAGTCAAGATCAGTTTGGAAAGACCGTTCCTCATGGTGGTAACAGTCAGAAACTATTTGTTATGATGGACAGGTAGGCAGCAGAACAATGAGGCAGCCCAGGAAAGCTCAGGAAGAGCTTAGATTCACAGGGCCAAAGAGTTGGTGAGGGAAGCAATCACAGCGGACTATGGACTCAGGAGCAGGTCAGAGGCAAGACAAGACACGAACAGTAGCGGGAAGACTGAGTGGGCATAAGAAAGCAGGAGCAGGTAGATGGTGCAGATTCAGACCCACATTCGGGTGGCGCAAATTAGAAACAGAAGAAAAGTTACAGAGAAAAGATTGAAACAAAAAAGTGTAAAGGAAGTACGAAGATTATTGTAAAGTATGAACATTGCATACAATTTTTTTTGGTAATTTTTCCTGTGCACAAGGATCAAAGGGGATTATTATTCACCCATGTGATATCCTAGTGTCTAAAAAGTACACTCATGGTTCTGGGCCCAGTAAGCATCTTTCAAATATCAGGACCACAGTGCCATTTTCTCAACATCACTTCCTTGAAGAATCGTTTCTCGATAGTCTCATGCAAGGCAGTCAGTTTAGATTCCACCATATAGCTGCTAAAAACAACCAACTGATTTGTCTAATATCATATAGTAAATATAGTAGCATTATACTTGAGATTGGATAGTCTGATCCTCACTTTGGCAAAGCTTGGAAAGAGGGGAAGAAAGGGAAGCGGAAGAGGAAAATCAAGAAAGGCAAAAGGGAAGATACCAGAAAGGGAGAAGATGCTGTACTGGCCCTGCACCCCGGCACGCTGAGCCACCTGGAATGGGTGTGGGGAAGTGTACCTGTAATCCCAGCACTGGGGAGGCCGAGAACAGAAGGATCACTACAAGTCTGAT